TCTCCCTCTGCTTCTAAGTGTCATTCCCTTTCCTCGTCTGCATCTTCTTTCTTTCAACCGCCGAAGGAGAACGCAGCGAAGAGCGAGACGTACAAAAAATTATTCAACCCAGACTTGGGACCTGGTCTGACAGGCACGCGGGACCCGTTGGGCACGCCATGCTACAACCGCGGTCCAAAGGTGTGACACTAGTTGCATGGAGCGAGGCACAGTCTGGAGCTGCTCGCCGGAAAAATGAGTTCCAGCCACCATGCGCACCATATAGCAGGGGGATGCGCAGACGGTGCGAATGGGCATCGCCGCGACAAAGGACGAGTGATGGAGGCGCGACAGACGCTTACGCTTCGCCTGGTCCAGAATGAGGGGGCGGAATCGTATAGGCAGGATGCGGCTGGGACCGAGGAGTAGGTATGAACGGAACGAGGTGTATGAGCAAGAGAAAATAGTTAATGCTCTCCAGGATATCGTGCTACTCGCTGGCAGTTTTCCAGGCCACCAACGCTTGGTAGGAGCTTCTCCATCGTGGGCCGTGAAAAGGTGAAATGCGTTCATGACTGGTTGTAGTTTTGGTGGGAACACATCCCGCCGGTTCCCCGCGGTCGCTTGGTCAGTGGCTTTGTCAGCGGGTGGCAGACACCACACGTCGAGTTGCTCATATGCAGGCGCGGTGGACTCAGGGGCCATCTGCTTCGAACACCTTGTGAGGGGCCTCCTTGAAGCTCCGGTTCGGACAGCGCCGACGTCAAAGAGAGCGGATGCCAGATATGAGTACGTCCAAAGTTTTTGGTAGATCAGTGTGCACGAGCTCTGTCGCCGTATATGCGCGTGGCATGCTCGTTTGTACGATTCGACAAGTGTTGAAGCATTCGCTCGCATGCGCTTGAATTTCTGACTCTCCTATGATTGCCACTGCTTTTCAGCGTGGTTGTGGGGAATCGGATCCCTGGTCGATAGAGTATACTTTGCGGTGGCGTTCTACCGTTGTTTGGCTTCGTGATTTCAAGCTGGAAGGCCGCCAACATTGACAACAGGCTTCAGTTGCACGTGGGGAGAGGATGTAAGGGGTGGGGAATCCGCCAGGAGACGAGCGCGCGTGCCCTCTGCGCGCTGCTGCCCCGGCCTCGAGCTTGCGCCAGCCCTGGCTGGGCAGGCCCGACAGAGCCGGCCCCGCGCGGGCGCCCATGGGCATGGGGAATTCTGTCGGCTGCTGCAGCGATCGCGACAAGGCTGCGCGTGGCTCTGCCCTTCCTGCCGTCCTCCCCAGCAGAAGGGGCGGTGGAATGGTCGTTGCCAGGGCCGGTACTTGGAGGCTCAGCGGAGCCGCATGCATGGTCAGGGCAGAGCTTCGGCTGGTGCCCACCGAATTCTTGATACTTTGCGAGCTACCGTGAGATGGGCAGTGCAGGAGCATCAGTGAAAACGAAGGGGGGGCGCCACTCAAACCGAAGCTGGGCTCAGCCCCAACAAGTCCGACAGTGGCCACCTCTGTGACCTCTCTCAGCGCGAGATCCGGGCACCCACCGGAGCCTGAAACATCGCCTCTCTGAGCTCTCCTGGGGTCCTCTGAGGGGTGCTACTGGGGCCCTCTTAGAAGCCCTCCTCGACCCCTCGCGGAGCTCTTTTGGGCCATCTTGAGGCCTCGGAGGTCCATGGCCCAATGGCAAAAAGACAACCATTCCAGAAATCACGTTTCCCCTATGAATTCGAAATTTGGGGGCATCTCCCTTGGAGGCCCCGTGGTCACCTCGAGCCATTTTGGGGCCGTCTTGGGGCTGTTCTGAGGCATGTTTGGGCCGTGTTTGAGGCCGACGTAAGCAAATGTTGACCATATCGCGCCATCTCGAAGGACAACTTGTGATCTTGGGCGATCAGGGGCCATCTTGTAGCCAAAAGCAGAACCCTCAGACGCCTTGCAGCTTCCAACCCGTCCATACCCCAGGAGAGAGGGCAGGGCGTTTCCACGAGGCGCGCGGTCCCGTCTTGGACCAGGTGAGGCTCGACAGGGCATGACAAGGTTAAAGAAGCCTCCAAGATGGCACATAGCCCATGCTCGTAGGGGCAAGTGATGCGGCTTGCATTTCCCAGACTACGGTAGCGAGGTGGAAGTGATGTGAGGTGCTCTTATACAGTGAAATATCAGCAGGCTTGGGCCAGGAGCCCGAAGAGCAACCACCAGGCCAACAACGGTGTGGCACGGCGCCTGGGCCGCTATACCCAGGCACCAAGTGCTAGTACAGGGCCCCGAGATGCTCCCAGATTGGTCGTCGGACCGCTCGTCATCCCTCTCCTCCCAAGAGGGTTCACGAGAGCTTCAAGAGGGCCCCAACAACCACGAACTGCCAACAACAGCACGACAGGGATCCAAGCATGCCCCCAAACCGCTCAAGGTTGTAAAACATGGCCCAAGTAAGCCTCAACACGGCCCGCGACAGCGCAAAGACGGCCCGCGAAAGTATCTCAAGAGCCCCGAGGCCAACCAACACAGCCCATCAGACCTGGGGCCGGCACGGAAACGGAAAGAGCGCTTCAGAAACAGAAGCCGAAATTATGCACACCACCGTTCGTTCTGGGAGCCTTGGCGTTGAGAGCTTGTTACGTCACCCCTCGCTCTTGGGAGCCTTGGTGTTCAGAGATTGTTGCGTTGCCGCCCGTTCCTGAGCCTTGGCTTGGCCTTGGTGTCAGGAACTTGTTACCTCACCTCTGTCTGCTGGGAGCCTTGGTCTTATCAGCTTGTTTACGTCACCGTTCGCTCTTGGGAGCCTTGGTGTGAAGAGCTTCTTGCGTTACCGAGCGCTCTTTATTTGGCGTCTCTGGGCCTTCGTCGGAGTCCTATTGGGCCCCTTTGGGAGTCCTTTTGGAGGCCTCTTGGGAACCTTGGGGGCCTCTTGAGGATTCTTGGGGGGCTCTTGGGGTCTCCTGGGGCTTCTTGGGGGGCTCTTGGGGCCTCCCGGGAGCGTCTTGGGGCGAAAGGCTAGACTTTTCGGTTCGTGGTCCCCCTCTTGGGCCCGTCTTGGGGCCGTCTTGGGCCGTCTTGGGCGCCTCTTGGGCCGTCTGGGGGCCCTCTTGGGCCGTTTTGGGGGCCTCTTGGGAGCCTCTTGGGCCGTCTTGGGGCGGTCTTGGGGGCCTCTTGGGCCGTCGCCACCGCCGTTAAAGCCGAAAACTGTAGATGCTAAACATGTACGTTAATCAATGTTTTTGGCCTCCTGGGGCCTCTTGGGGGGCCTCTTGGGGGCCTCTTGGGGCCTCCTGGGAGCTTCTTGGGGCGAAAGGCTAGACTTTTCTGTTCGTGGTCCCCCTCCTGGGGCCCTCTTGGGCCGTCTTGGGCGCCTCTTGGGCCGTCTGGGGGCCATCTCGGGCCGTTTTGGGAGGCTCCTTGGGAGCTTCTTGGGCCGTCCTTGGGCGGTTTTGGGCGCCTCTTCGGCCGTCGTCGACGCCGTGGAGGCCGAACAGTCGCGTATGCTCAAAATGCATGTTTTCCGAAGGACGATCCATGTTTTCGGCCTCTTGGGGTCCTCCAGGGACGCCCCTTGGACGCCTCTTGGGGCGTCTTGGAGGCCTCTTGGGCCGTCTTGGGCGGTCTTGGGCTTGGGCCGTCTTGGAGGTATCTTGGCCCGTCTTGGACCCCTCTTGGACCGTCTTGAGCGCCCAAGACGGCCCAAGAAGCTCCCAAGAGACCTCCAAGACGCTCGTACCTCGCTCTTTCCGTTACCTGGGGCCTTCACGGAAACGGAAAGAGCGCTTCAGCAATTTGCCCGAGATGGTTCATGACACCCTTTGCTTTTGGGAGCCTTGGTGGTAAGAACTTGTTGCGTCACCGTTCGCGCTTGGGAGCCTTGCTGGCACGCACGTGTTACGTCACCGCGCTCTGTTGGGAGCCTTGCTGGGGAGAGCTTGTTACGTCACCGCTGTCTGTTCAGAGTCCTCGTGCCCAGAGATGCTTACGTTGCCGCTCGTTCTTGGGAACCTAGGTGGTAAGAGCTTGTTGCGTCACCGCTCGCTCTTGGGAGCCCTGCTGTTCAGCGCGTGTTACGTCACCGCTCTCAGTTGGGAGCCATGCTCCTCCCCCTCCTCCTCTTTCTCCTCCTCCTCCTCCTCATCCTCCCTCCACCTCCTCCTCCTCTTCCTCCTCCTCCTCTTCCTCCTCATCCACCTCCTCCTCCACCTCCCTCGTCCTCGTCGTTTTCCTTTACCTCCTTGTTCTCCTTCTCTTTCCTCGTCCTTTTCCTTTGCCTCCTTGTTCTCCTCCTCTTTCTGAAGAGCCACCCCGCATGTGTATTCAGATTTGACTTCCCATCATGAGGAAGTCGCTTATATCAAGTCCGCCAGAATCATTCCCATGGGGGTGGGCACATCGCCTCGGAGACGGCCAGATTGCTAGTCACCTCAAGTCCACCGGCGAGGTGGGAAGTATTGCTGCATGAGATAAGCGGGAGGGGTACCCCATCCCACCTCAAATTTCTTATGCCCAGAGGGCTGGTGGGACTAGGAGGGAGGCTGGGAGACCATGACCAATGGCCGTTGCAGCGTGTTCTGTCCCGAAGGAATTCTCGGCCCACAGCGGCATCATTGCTTCAGGCGGGCTCGCAGGGGGCTACCACCCTCACGATCATCATTCAATTGAGGCAGTGGGGTTGTGCCGCGAGACCCTGTATCACCCATTGCCAAACGACCCACTCACTGATCATGCCCATCCGACTGGGGCATTGCACAGACACCACTCGACCTCGCCCAAGCCGAGCTTTCCAGATCGACCTTGCCCAGGCTTGTTCGGCCAGACGAGTTCGCCTCGACCGACCTGGGCGAGTTCGGCTACTTTGTTTAAGGTGAGTCCAGGCAGACGAGTTCAACCATTGTCATCGAACGCACACGAGTTAGGCTGGGCGAGTTCGGGCCAGGCGAGGTCGGTGTCGCCCAGCTTTGAAGCTGGAGCGCCGTGCGGGTTCCATCCGGCGAATTTGACCTGGGTGACTTCGTCTGCGTGGCGAGATTGGCCGTCTGGGTTTGGCGACGACTCGGTCTGGGGTGAACTCGATGGAATTCCGTCTCTCGGCGTCGTCTGGGTGAGTGCGGCCCGGCGAGCGCAGCCAGGGGGGGGGCCGGAGAAGCTGGGAGGGCGGGGTTGCAGGACCCGCCGGCCCCCGAGTGCGAACCCCACCTTCATCGGCTCATAGGCCGAATTTGCCCAGTCTGAGTTGGGTGCGGCGATGGGGAAGAAGAGGAGATCGGAGGAAGGATAAGGATGATGCCAGGCGAGGGGAGGGGAAGGGATGGAGTCGAGCACGGGGAGGCCAAGAGTGTGAAGCAGGGGAGTCGAGAACGGCAGCGGGGCAGTAGGGACGTGAGGGTAGCGCGATCGGAGGAGAGTTAAGTACTCAGGGGATGGGTGTGAGAGATGAGGAAGCGAGCGTGGAGAGGACAGGTCGAGTAGAACAGCAGAGCAGAGAGGGGGACGGACACGTCAAGCCAGCCAGGTCAGAGGAGGAGAGTGGTGGACACGTCAAGCCAGCCAGCGCAGTCTAGGGACGAGAGGTGGTTGAACACAAAAGAATAAGTAGGGCCTTATGCGGAGATAAGCGAGGAGGGCAGCGCGCGGGTGCGGAGCAGGACGAAGAGTTGAAGGCCTCCATCGGTCGGAAGTTGGGGTCGACCAAGGCGGCTGTCCCACCCTCCGACACTCTCGCCCACGACTCTCCTTCCCTGCTGCATCTCTGTTTTGGTATCTGACCTCCTCTGTCTTGATGTATACATGGATATGGTGTACACCTACGTATACGTGTATATTTACATATACGCGATATATATATATATATATATATATATATATATATTCCTTGATTTACATGTGGGTTGTCTGCCTCGGGATGTCAGGGAGGGCCGTCTCCTTAAATGTCTGTGCTCAAGCTTGAACAGGCCCACACCCACGCTCGCAGCGCTCTCCCCCTGTCTTGGCTACTGTTCTCTGATCACTGTATCCTACCCCTCTCGCAGCCCATTGGGGCCACGGGCCTGGCGTCGCCGAGCTGCCCCGCGATTTGCTCTCGCTTGGCGTGCGCAGCGTGCCCCGGCTGTCCTGGTGCCCCGGCCTTCGTGCTGGCGAGTGCCTGGCGAACGAGACGAAGGCCCAGCCATCCGGTGTGTGATGGCCCTGGCCACCGTGTGCAGCTTCGTGCTCATCAGCCTGAGCAGCGGGGCCACCCGCCGCCTCATCTCGATCGTGAATCCAATCGGGCCCCTGAGGCTCGTCATATGTACCCCAGGTGGCGACGTGTACGACAAGGACTACTCTGGCCAGACCGTCGGCATCGCTGCGGCCCATCGCTGTCCTGACCGCGATCGGCCTCCCGGCATCACGGCGGCGGCCAAGTGCCGCTGCAGGCGGGCCCCGACAGCTGTGACGGAGGTCGCCTTCGGCACGGCAGGCGACGCCTACGTGGCGACGGGACTCACGTCCGAGGCGGCCGCTGCCGAACAGGCCACTGCAGCCCCGGCAGCCGAGTGCCAGGTGCCCCTAGCCTCGGGAAACGGCCCCTTTGGCCTGCCCGCAGTCGCTGGTGCCGCTCCCCGCGGCCAGACCGCGGCTGCGGCCGGAGCGGCGCCGCCGGCGCCCGCGGCGGGAGTCGTTGTCGTGGCCACCGCCCAGTGGGTCGATGCCGAGAGCACGGCTTTCGCCAGCCGTGGTGATCCAGTCTCGCCCCCGGCGAACATCAGCGTGCCCGGCGTTCTCGCCATCAAGCAGGCGCCCGACAGACTCAGCACCGTGGTCAAGAGCGTCCAGTCCTTGGACACAGCGGAGTACCCGGCCCTGGCGGCGATGCGGGACCCTCACTACTTGGACGGCTCGGCCTTCTTCATGGCCCGGCCTCGCCATCGCTGGAGCGACGTGTGCATGGAGCTCGTGAAGGCCGCCTATGCCTGGTCGACGGTCCCCGGGCCTCGAGTGGTGAAGTGGTGTGCAGAATGGTTCGACCTGCGTTCGTCTGCACCCGTGGTGCCCCACCTGCAGCTCATGAGCGTGATCGGGCTGAAGCCGGTCTCGTGGGGGGTGGAGCTCCACGGCACTGCCCTGCACGTGTTGGGGGAGGCGGCCGACTACGACAATATGAACATCTGCGACTCGGTAGGCATCGAATCGCTCCTGCATCAGGCTCAGCTCTCGGAGTATGTCTACAGGATGGACTCCATGGGGGCTACCGAGAAGGTCAGGAGGGACGAGACCCCCCGCGCCTCGACGGTCACGGTCGTCGGCCTCATGGTTGAGGAGACCGTCTTCTCCGGCATCAACAAGAGCACGGGCTCGACCGTGGTGTGTCCAGCGTCCCTGGATCATGTGGTTCGTGCGGTAGGCAAGGATGCCGCCATTTTGAAACCAGTTCGGAAAGCCAAGGAGGAGCGCGCGGCGTTCCTCATGAAGCAATGATGATGCAGCACGGCCCAGGTGAAGCCTCTAGCTTGGTGCCAGATCCAGAGGCCGCCCCCCGCGGCGAGACGCGGCCTCCTTCTGAGGGCGTGATGCCGAGTGATGCCTATGCTGATCGGCAGCGCGACCTTCTCCCCTTTCCTCTCTCGTGCTTGCGTGAGTCGGGCCTCGACTCGTCAGTTTTTTCTCGGCCGACTCGACGTCGCCACCTCCGTCAGGCCCACTCTGCTCGCTTCGCGGAGTCGGTTGCCTCGAGTCTGAATCAACTTGTCACAGGAGGGCCCCCGAGGGGTGGGTCTTGTTCTCCCAGTGCGGCTCAGCTGGAGGCCTGTCGTCTCATTCGCCGTGCGGTGGATCGCTTAGGGCCCCCTCCCCCAGGGCTCTCCGGCGCGGGAGCACTCAGTGAGCTCTGCGCCCGGCGTCCATACGGTGGTGAGCCGGCCACCCTGGCGCCGATCGGCCCAGACAATGTTTGCCTCTTGGACCTCCCTTCCCCTGGTAGTCCCCCGAAGCCTCTAGGTGTTTTGCTTGGTCCCGAGGGTGAAACCTTGGTCGAAAAGCTGGGCAGCAAGATTTTTCCTGAGCGCCTTGCGCGCGAACAGATGGCTCGTGACGGCCTCTCTAGGTCCTACACAGACCCTGCTCTCAGGCGCTCTCCCCGTCTGTATGCCTCGGTCCTAAAGCGGCTCCGAGAGGCCGGCCTTGTGGCGTGGGGGGTTGAATGCAAAGCTTCGGTTGGGATCTTCGCCGTGTATAAGAAGTCAGGGAAGCTTCGAGTTATTATTGACGGTCGTATCTCGAGTTGCCGGTTCGACGACTCCGATGACCGTCACTTGGCGAGTGGGTCCTCGTTCGCGCCCATCCAGGTTGACTCTCAGGATCCTATCTGTGTCGGCGGCGTCGATGTGGCCAACGCTTTTTACAACGTTGCCCTGCCCAAGGGTCTCCAGGAGTTCTTCGGTCTTCCAAGGATCCGTGCTGGACAGGTTGGAGTCTCGGAGGTGAATGGGGCCCCGGTGGCCCCGAATACCTACATCGCCCCCCTCTTCACCGCGATCTCTATGGGTTGGAAGCTTTCTTTGTGGCTTATGTAACGTGCCCTGGAGATCCTCTCGAGGCGGGCCCCCGGCATCGAGGAGGCGAATGCCCTGTTCGACGGGCGCCCGGCCCCGCCCCTGACGCCGCTGATCCACGCAGAGTGCGTTGATAACTTTGTCGCTTTCAGTCAGTGCCAGCGGGCCGCCGGAGATGCTGCCCGCGCAGTCTCCTCGGAGCTCGCGCGAGCCCGTTTGCCCGTGCACCCGGTGGAGGACACGAGGGGAGGGACGACCTTGGGGTGGACTTTCTCGGAAGACTCGGCCGAGGTCGGGGTCAACCCGACTACTTCCTGGAAGCTTCGTCTCGGGTTTCAAGAGTTTGCCCGTCGAAAATATGCTTCAGGAAAGACCGTCGAGATCCTCGTGTCCCACTTCGCCACCCGGGCCCTGACTAGGCGCGAGCTCTTGTGCGTGTTCAACGCCGCCTACTCGTTGATAGAACATGCTGGTGACTCCGCGGTGCCACTCTGGCCCTCGGTGAAGAGAGAATTCACGTGGGCCAGCCACCTCATCGTCCTTGCCTCGCGTGACCTGTCTGCTCCATGGGCTTCGGAGGCATCAGTTGTGGACGCTTCTAGTTGGGGCATGGGTGCGTATATCCAGGACCTGGACCACCGCGTCGTCGCGGACTTAGGCAAGCTCAACGAACGCTGGAGGTTCACACGGGATGAAGGAAAGGGTTGGTGTCCCCGGGATTCCGCGTTGTTGGCCGCCCGCCTTGGGGGCTACCACGCCCCCCCTGCCTCGTCGCCGCGGCCGGACTCGCATCTGCCTGGTGGCGGGTCCTCGCGGGATCCGCGCGCGTTCTGGAACGACCGTTCCGGGGAGGCCCCCCTTGAGCCCTCTGTGGGTCATTCTGCGGGGCGCCCGCCTGAACTCGTCGCCCGCGTCGGATTCGCTTCCTGATGCCTTCCCCTCGGTCCCGCCCTCGGTCTGGGATGGGGAGTGGCGCCTCGTGGCCTCCCGGGCATGGGCCCGCTCCGAGCCTCAGGTTTGCCTTGAAGGTCGGGCTATGGTCTGGTCTACCAAGCGATGCACCCGGTCGTTAGCCTCATTTGGTCGGCGGCACCTTCATCTTGGGGACTCTATGGCACTTATTATGGCTGTGACAAAGGGGCGGTCGTCGGCCAGGGGGATGATGCGGATCTGTCGACAGCACGCCGCGCTGGCCCTCGCGTCCTTCTCCTACCACATATGGCGGTGGGTCCCGTCTGAGCACAACGCCAGCGACCCCCCATCTCGCGACGTGCGCCTGGCTCGAGCGCCGGCCAGTACTCGTCTGCCTGGGCCCCCGCCCGGGCTCGAGGCCCTGGTCCCAGCTCCGCCGCGGCGCGCGGATGCTCCCGTGGCCTGGAGCGCGGCCGCCTGCGCCGCCCGCGAGCGTCGCGTCCGCTCCGCCGGCCACGCCCTCAGAGACGCTTTCGACGGCTTCGGCTCCTCTGGCGACGTGGACTCGGACAGCCAGGACGGGCGTGCCCGCGGTGCGTCGCCGGCCGGCGACTGTCTCTGCCCAGTCGAAGGGGGCCGCGCAGATGGCAAGCTCCGCACGCGCCCGAGCACCTCGCGGCGTGCTCAGCCGACCAGCGCTGGAGAGCGCTCGGCGCGAGGATCGCCGTCGCGCTCGGGTTCGCCAGCATCCGCGGGAGGCAGTGACGGGGTGCCCGGGACACTCGCTGTTAGAGCGGAGCGTGGTGCGGCCGGCCCAGCAGGAGCGGTACCGCGAGATGGTTCAGACCTTCAGCACCTGGACGGTTGCCCTGGGCCCCCCCACGTCGACGCTGGCCGAGCTCGACCACGCGGCGGTGGCGTACTTCCACGACCTCTTCTTCAACGGCGAGGTGGTGGCCCACGCGTCGGCGCTGCTGGCCGCACTCGCGTTCTGCGATCCTCGTGTGACTCGGCGGACCCCAGAACTCCCTCGGGCCCGCCGGGCCCTGAAGGGCTTCGGGAAGCTCGCGCCGCCCCGGGCGCGGCTTCCCCTGCCGTGGACGGTGGTGGCTCTGATCATCACCAAGCTGCTGGCCCTGGGCCTGGCCGAGGCAGCCTGGCTGACGCTCCTGAACTTCGTGTTCTATTGCCGCCCCTCGGAGCTGCTGAGGCTCCGCTGCCGGGACCTCGTCGCGCCGCCCCGCGGCGGCCCGGTCGCCGCGCGGAAGTGGAGCCTCCTGCTCAACCCGATCGAGGGCGGCGTGCCGAGCAAGATTGCCGTGTTCGACGAGAGCCTGCTGCACGACAGCGTGGAGTTCGCCTGGGTCAACCAGGTCCTCGAGGTGATCAAGGGCCGCCGAGATCCCAGCGACCTGATCGTCGGCCTGACCTACGCGCAGTGGTGCGGCCAGTTCCAGCAGGCCGTGAACGCGCTGCCGCTGTCCGCGCTGGCGCCGATCTCCCTGTGCCAGCTCAGGCACGGCGGGGCCAGCCACGAGATTCTCGGCGGGGGGCGCGACACGACCGGGGTGAAGAAGCGCGGTCGATGGCAGTCAGACGCGCCCCTCCACCGGCACGTCAAGGCCGGCCGCTTGAACGAGCAGCTGCAGCGCCTCGACGTCCCCGTGCAGGAAGTCGCCGCCGAGTGTGCCGAGCGACTGTCGCCCATGATCCTCGCACCATCCCGAGCCTGCTCGTTGCTCCGGAGGAAGGGTTTGCACTAGAGCTTTTTGCTGGCCAGGGCCGCTGGTCATCTGCCTGGCGTTCGACTCCTGGCCTCCGACATATACTTTGCCATCGATATTCGGCGCGGGCCGGCCCGTGACCTTACGAATCGGGCTTTCGCCCGCCTCGTCCGCGGCTGGATTCGCTCGAACCTGGTGAGGGCCCTGTGGCTCGGTACCCCGTGCACCACCTTTTCGATGGCAAATCGGGAGGGCTGGAGGTCTAGGCAACACCCTGGTGGAGTTCCTGGTCTCTCGGGCCACGTCCTGTCCAGGGTCCAGGAGGCCAACGAGTTGAGCTCAATCTCCGCTGGTTTCTTTCGCCTGGCTCGTACGATGATGGTTCCAGTTGCTATCGAGAACCCTCGCACGAGCCGCCTGTGGTCAATGCCCGCTTGGTCTCAGATCCTGAGATATTCAGATGTAGATGTTGCCATTCTAGACTATTGCGCCTGCGGCGTGCCCTGGAGAAAGAGGACCAGGTTCGTGTCGGCCAATGTTGTCCTCCCGTTCAAGTGCCACGGTACCAAAGTCTGTGACTTCACCGGCAAACCCCATATCTATCTCCAGGGTCATGATGATAATCACGTGCATCGTACGAAAATCGCCGAGCCGTGCCCCCGGAAGTTGTGTGTTGGGATCCTCAAGGCGTTTGCGAGTACTATCCTCTCGGATCTTCAGTGTACTCTAGTGGTCTAGATTGCTGCGTTTTGGTTTGTGGGCTTAATACGGCATACCAGTCTTTACCTTTGGCTGGGAAAGGCGTCTTTGGAGAGCTGGGCAACCGGCTGCCCTGATTATAAAGGTGCGTGTGCGTGTACTCGAGCGTTGAGACCCTTGGCGAGATCAGCACACATATCGAACCCTGCTGGCGAGAAAACCATCTGGCCCGTCAAGTACATCGGCGAGCATACATAATCCTTTGTTTACATGTGGGTTGTCTGCCTCGGGATGTCAGGGAGGGCCGTCTCCTTAAATGTCTGTGCTCAAGCTTCCCACGGTCTCCGTCCGCTATGCGTTCTGCCACCCCAAACCACCCTCTTTTTGCCGCCTCTTAAGGACAAGAAGTCCCACGTCCCGTGTGCTGCATAGTATCTCTTCAGGAGAGCTGGGCAACCGGCTGCCCTGATTATAAAGGTGCGTGTGCGTGTACTCGAGCGTTGAGACCCTTGGCGAGATCAGCACACAGATCGAACCCTGCTGGCGAGAAAACCATCTGGCCCGTCAAGTACATCGGCGAGCATACATATATATATATATATATATATATATATATATATATATGTACACACACATACACATAACGGCGCACCGGGCTCGGGGGCCGAGGGCCGGAACCTCGACCACAGATGTGGGGACCGGGGCCTGGGCCCGCCTGGCCTAAAATCGCCCCGGGGAGCCCTCAGACAGCAACCCCGGAAAGCCCCAGACGGTCTCGAGACACCCCAAAAACGCCGTCCAGGGGTCTCTGGCGACGCACGATGCGTTTTGAACTGCCCCGGAGGCCCCCAAGACGCGCCAAGAGTCTTTTAAGATGCCGCCCAAGAGCGCCCCGAGAGGGCAACACCGTTGATTAGCATGTATTATTTTCCATGGTTTTTGCATTCTCGCTGTTTCGTGTTCCCGGCGCTAAAGCACCCACCGCCCAAGAGGCTCCCAAAACTGGTCCAAGACGGCCCAAGAGGGCCCCAAGACGGCCCAAGAGAGCCCCGAGAGGGCCCCAGAGCCGCCCAAGACGGCGCAAGAGGGTCCCAAGAAGGCTCCAAGAGGGGCCCAAGAGAGGGAACGCGAACTGAAAAACCAAGCTCTCCGCCCTAAGATGCCTCCAAGAGGCCCCAAGATGCCCCCAGGAAGCCCCCAAGAGGGTCCCAAGAAGCCCAAAATAGGCTCCAAGAGGCCCTAATACGGCACCCAAAAGGCTTCAAAATTCTTTCTAAGAGGCCCCCGAAGACATGCCAAGAAGGTCCCATGACGACTTCGTGAAGCAGCCCAGGATTCTCCGAGGATGCCCCAAGAAGCAAGCTAGAACTTGAGCGCGCGCGAAGCGCGCGCGATGGTTCGAGTATATATGTATACATGTCGCAAGTACGGCGCCTGACATTTTTGGCAGCGATATTTCGTTTGATGTCTTGGCTTCACCCCCATCCGCTTGTTAAGTTACCGCCCCATGTTCATAGTATCGGATCGCCTTCAGCCCATTCCACCAGCGCGCTTGGGTTGTAGGTCAGTTTTTCCGGATTGCTTCTAGGGGGCTCGTCGGAGGGTTCTCGGGGGCCTCCGTCGGGGGGCAGTGTTGAGGTTTCGTTGGAAGCCTCTTGGGGGCCTCTCCGGGACCTCTTGAAGGTTCCCTGGAGCTCCTTGGGAGCCTCTTGGGGCCTTTTTGCGGCTTCTTGGGGCCTCCTGGGGACCTCCTGGAGGCAGCATGGGGCAGAGGGCCCGACATGTCCCGTTCGGGTACCCTTGTCCGGGCCCCCTTTTGGAGCCGTCGTGGGAGCCTTTTGAGCCGTCTTGGAGGCCTCTTGGGCCGTCTTGGGGCCCTCTTAGGCCGTCTTGGAGACCTCTTGGGCCGTCTTTGGGCGATCTCGGGGGCCTCTTGGGCCGTCTTGGAGCGTCGGAAAGCCGAACAGGCGAGAACGCACCACTCTTTCAAAATACAATGGAAAATGAATGAGTTCGGCCTCTCCGGGCATTTGTGGGGGTGCTCTTGGAGGCCGCTTGGGACGTCTTGGGCGCTTTTTCGGCCGACTGGAGGCCATCTTGGGCGTGTGGGGCCGATCGATCAGCGATTCGAGGCCCTCATGGGCCATCTTGGGGGCCTCTTTGGGCACTCTTGGCCCGTCTTGGGGCCCTTTTCTGGGCCCGGACAAGTCATGTGGGAGGACGCGCAGGGGCCACCAGGGCCCGCGGGAAGTCCCGAGAGATTTGCGAGATTAGGGTCCTGGGCCCTACAAGAATCTTCAGGAATTAAGCAAAAGGACTTGAGGAAAGTCCAATTCGTGCCTCAAGGGCACGGTTCCCACTTCCTCCAATGCCGCCAACGTCGTGTTGCACATTCGCAGTATCAATTCCGCTTGGCAGTAAACTCGCTGGTGGCAGTCTCCATGCTTGCGGGTCGTTTCCTTGAGGTCAAGCAAGCCGCGAGTGGTTGTCGAAGCCTTCGGGGTTGAGGGTTGGCCAGGCCTTCGGGTATACGCACAGCTAGCATATTCTTTGAAACTTGGCAATGCCGACGCGCGCTGCCCAAGCCCCCACTCGTCATTATGTGAACGGACTTTGCGCCCCTGAATCTCTGACGCGTCGCGCAGCCATACCAGCTCATTCAGGAAGGATTCCTAGGCATGGTGCAGAGAGCAGCCTACCAACACGCCCAACTTGTAGCCCTCGGGTGGTCTCCTTGGGTCGGCTTGCAACTATCTTGGGGCCCTTTGGAGGTATTTGGAGCCCGATTGGGTTCCTAGCGGGGCCTTGTCAGGAGCCTTAAATGTTTGAAGGGGGACCATGCAGGCCAGCGACCGAAACATGGCAATCCATTTTGTGGAGCCCGCAAGATCTTCGGTCGGTGCCGTTTGTAGAGTCTTGTGGGATGCTCTAGGGGGTCTCCAGATCACTCTCTTTCTTGTGGCGCTATTGGGCCATCTCAGGGCCGTCTCGGAGCCTCATTTACCCATCTGGATCCGAAAGGGTGGGCGATGGCAAATCTCATTTCAAATATTTTGGTAGCTGGCATCCCAGGAAACGCCTTGAGAGGCTCGGAGCGCACCACTGTCCACCATGTTGGAGACATGCTGTAGCTATCATCAACGCTCTGAAACGCCCTCATCCATTACTTTGCCCCAGCCAGCCAAACGCACGTGGAGGCGGGAGAGGACCGATCGGAGCGCGCAACAGACATCAGCCGGTCGAGGGTACACGGCGTAGTGTTATTATATCGAAGTTTGTTACGTTAGTGCCACAGGTGTCTTGGACCCCTCAGTTCGAAAGCATGCCGACGGGGATCATGAGCAAGTGTGTTTACAACACGTCATTGCCACATGCATGCCTTCATCTTTGCTTGGTTCAGGAGAGCTTCCGTGTCACGTTGACGAAGGCATCTCCAGATGACAAATTCGGTATCGCGTACCACGCTGATAAGAAGGCCATCCGTATTATTGGTATTGCCGAGGGCTCTCTGATGGACAAGTGGAATATGGATAATCCAGGCAGAGAGGTGCGCGTAGACGACCGCGTGGTCGAAGTCAATGGAACAAGAGCAAAATCGCAAAAGTTGGTTGAGTTATTGGAGACCGAACACGCAGCGGACCTCCTTGTGACAAGACAGGCGACCACACACTTGCTACATGCATGTTGCCGTGTGCCGTCTTTTGTTGGCAGAGCACGTACGTTGGCAAAGGTGGCACAGCTGAATGCATCGCGCATAGCACCTAATTCATGCAGGACGAGAGGGATGTTTCATGGAGAAGCGTGCATTGCCAGCCTTTAAGTGCGTATCGGCGACTCTTATTAGTAATGGGGTACATGTAAGGTTGTACCCGCACGTGGGGGAGCACACGTTGCCAACATGGTCTGGCCTCCCGTCTAGAATATGAGGCGTCTTGTGCGGTGCGTTTTCAGAGATTAGAGCATGTTTGTCCATGTGAAGGGCTGCTCCCTTTTCCCTCATTGCCATATGGGGACAGTCCGTGGGCCCTCTTAGGGCCGAACGTGTGCATATCTGGGCTTCTGGGCCATCTTCTGGAGGGAGTTGGCAATTGTGTTGGTCTTTGGGGGACCGGCTGGGGCCATATTAGGGCCCCTTGCGCGGGCACCTTCGGCAATAATCTGGGCCCTCGGGTCAATATTAAGCCGGACTTGAGGTAGATGAGGAGGAAAACGTAGGACGTGCAAGCGCATCGACAACACACACACAACGTGATTATCGAAGACGCCTACGGCGAATCAGCGCCGCCCCCTGCCTGTAGGAATCGCTCATGTGGCCGAGCGTTGTGGCAAGAACTCTGCCCAGCTATCGGGCCATGTGTTCCTCCAGCTGTCGCGGAAACCCTTCGGGCAACATTTGGAGGAGGATGGCGGGGAAGATCAGGAGAAGGAGGAGGAGGCCTCTTGGGAGCCTCTTGCGGCACTCTTGGGCCATTTTGGGCGTGTTGGAGGCTTCTTGGCCCGTATTGGGACACTCTTGGGGTCGTCTCGGGGGCTTCCTGGAGGCGATCTCGGGGGCCTCTTAGGCCTCCTTGGGCCGTCCGAAGGCCGAAAAGAAGCAACTGCCCAAAACCTATAAACAAAACCGACTAACATCAATGATTTTGGCTTCTTCGGGCCTTCCTGAAGGACCTCTTGGAGGCCTCCCGGGCTATCTTGGAAGCCTCTTGGGGGCCTCTTGGGCCGTTTTGGAGGTTGCTTGGGCAAACATGGAGGCATCTTGGGTGGTCCTGAGCCGTTGTGCAGGCCATCTTGGAACCATCTGGAGCGGGAGAAACGTTTGCAATCACCTCTGGAAGAGCCTTCCGGGTGGCCGGCGCAATGGACCGAAGCCCCAGGGCGATTTCTTCGGGGAAAGATCCAGAACCGGGGATTGAAGAGTCTCAGCCCATCAGCGGGGCGCGCTCCGCTAATTGATGCGATGCAATGGAAATTTCTTGGTTTGGGGCTTAGCGGAGCGCCGCTCCGCGAATGGGCGCGTGGCAATCCTGATCCTTTGGCCCGAGGCCAATTAGCAGAGCGGCACTCCGCTAATTGAGGCGAAGGAGTCGATCTCCTTTGGTTTGAGGCCACTCCGCTCTGCAAAAGTGGATGCGGCAAAGTTCAGGACCCTCTGGATCCTGGGCCCTGAAAGAATCTTCAGGTCAGAGGACTGCTGTTCGAGTGATTTTGCAATGGACCTGAGGACATCTAAATTCGTGCCACGAGGGCACGGGGGCGGATATGGTGTCGAGCTCTCTCGCGGGCGTCTTGCGGGGCCGTCCAAGTTGCCGTCTTAGTGTACTGACGAGAGCCGTATGCAATCTGCGCAGAGGGAAAGCCAGATACTCTCTTATGTGTCTTCTATCGTTATTACGGGCTCGGTGTGCTGCTGCATCAACAGAGTACTATGTCAACGCGCATAGTGTCGTCCAACGTTGTACGTTTACCTGGCGAGTCTATGCAATACACACGCAAAGCGGGCAATCTTACATCGGATGCTCCAGCCCTCGACGATGCGAGAAGCAATGAGAAGCAGGGATACGTGCTTCCCGAACTACGTGGTGTTCGCTGTGAGGCGCCCCCACAGGCATCCCGAATGATGAGGGCGCCGACAAGGCTCATCTTTCCGACAAATAGTATGCCTTTTGACATGCGAAGAAATGGGTCCTCTCCAACGCCCCACCTCCCAAACGCCTTATGCGTGTCCTGTATGGCACGACCTGTATGTCAGGAGGAGCCGCCATGGGGTACAGGAGCAGGGGCTCTGACGACGCGCCCACCTAGGGACCACACTGGGAACTGACAGGGAATGTGCCCTTCCGCGAGCGCATCAAAGATTTGCACACTTCGGTACCTGCCACAGGCAGACGCGTGACCCCGAACAACAGGCAGCCGCATTATACGCTGGCTTGGGAGGCATCGCAAGGGTACTGGCTGTGCGCAGATTCAAGATCATCGCCAATTTCGGAACAGAGATTGGGGGAGCACGCGCAGACCAAGCTATATCGGGCATGCCTTTTCTTCAATGGCGGGGCCATATCGCTCGTGATCCCGCTCCCGTCCAGGGGACGCTGAAACCGCTTACTTGAACCATGGCGTTGGGCGGTGGGCCGCGCGCTCTGGCTTGGGCAAAGTGGGCGGGGGGGGACATCATGGTAGTCCTCGCCGGGCCACTTGAGCACTGTGCAAGCGTTGGCGACTTGGCCCTTGGTGGTGCATTTGGTTATGTGATTCGGTACTTGACGATGGCTAGGGCGGCTTCGGTGCCGCGCAATTCGAGAGCAAAGGTCTTCGCGGCCGCGCCGTCTCGAAGGACGCGGACTCGGATGTTGTTGGCGATCTTGGCGATTCCTTCTAACTCATGTGTGTTGAGGATGAAGACGGCCTCGTCCATCTTGGCTGCAACTTTGCACCAGATGACGGTGTGCGCGGAGTTGGCCTTGACGGCTTGGTGGGTGGTCCCACGGTGGTTGGCGACGTGGGTGATGTTTCTTGTGCTCGACGTGGCGAGCACAGTAGTGACGCCAATTTGGGAAATGCCGAGGACAGCCGTGAGTTGCCTCGGGCCGAGCCGTGAGGACCGAGTTGGATGGGCCACCCTCGGAGCGTGACGGCGACGAAGAAGTTCTGGAAGATGGCCTTGCGCGCGTCGACGAAAGCCTTATCCAGCTTACGTTTCGCAGCGTTGGTGGGGCGTTGGTCTTGTGGCGCTTGCGGACTGATGGTTGAGGCGTGTTTTCCCAACCACGGTGCGCGTGGCGCGCGCCGTTGACGGGAACAGCTCCCGAGAATTGTTCGGTGAATAGCTTTTCGCCCCCGGCTCTTGGATCGTGACTCGGATCCAGGTGATGTCGAGTGTGGGGTCGAGCGTGGTTTGGGTGAGGTTCTGGCGAGGCTCGACTTTGGTGGCTCCGAGCTGGTAAATAATGCCGTCGCGGTCGGCGGGGTGCAGCGACCAGGACGGAGATGACCATATTTTTCTTTGGGCAGAGGGGGTTATTGGGCCTGAGGAGCTGCCAAGGCCAGTGGTCGGCCTTGGGTGCGGATTCTGGTGAGCAGCCGCTCCACTTCTCGTGGCCATGGAGGATGATGCTGCTGGTGTACGTGTCGTCGCTGGAGGGACGCGTGGGTAGGGCGACGACTCGGATGGACCAGCGTGCGTCGTCGAGTCTCATCATCGGTGGATCGGCTTCCTTGGTGGCGTCGGGACGAAAGCATGAGCGCTTGGGCTCATCCGCGCTGGCCTTTAGCTTAGTGGTGGGCCAAAGTCCAGCTGATCCGGTGTTTGCCGCAGGTGCGTTGGAGTGCCTTGCGGAGCCCGTTGAGGTGCCTGGCGCGCTTGCAGTAGATGCGGTCGGGCTCGGAGGATGCTCCGCCGATTGGGTTAGTCGTAGGCCTGGCTGGCACGGTCAGGGTATGTTTTTTGCAGGGCGGGGGCGCAGGCCCTCTGGCGAGCGAGCTTGGTGGTAGCGTATTTATTACTAGTAGTATTATCATTAGTATTATTATTATTTTTAGTACTATTATTATTATTATTATTTTTATTCGTCTCCTTCTTCTTCTTCTTATTATTATGTGTCTTATTAGTTTTCTTCTTCTTCTTGTGTTTACTAGTCTTCTTCTTCTTGCCCGCGCGGCCCGCCAGTGTGGCCGCGGAAGGGGTGGAGAAACCGAGTGCGGGGCGCCCAGCCGATGGAGGCAAGAGGTTGCCGCCGTTCAGTCTAGCCAGGGCCAGGGGCGCATGGCGGCCAGATGCCTGGCCTGAGATCGCAAGGGATCTTTGAGCCAAGAATATTTGGATGAAGAGAGGGAGAAATAGAGAGGGAGAGAGTGAAAGACATATATAGAGAGATGGAGGGAGGGAGGGAGGGAGGGAGGGAGGGAGAGAGAGAGAGAGAGAGAGAGAGAGAGGGGCGGAGGGAGGGAGGAAAGGAGGGAAAGGGAGATAAAGAGAGAGAGAGAGGGAGGACCGTCCAGAGTATACAGGTCAACATGAGAAAAAAACAAGAGAGAGAACGAGAGAGAGAGAGGGGGTGAGACAACGAGAGACAGATAGTGAGGGGGAGAGAGAGGGGGAGAGAAATAACAACAAAACTAAAGACAGGAGCGAGAGAGGGAGAAAGAGATACAGAGGACATCTATGCAGCTGTGAGTACCACAGTTGTACATATCGTCTTCAACAAAACCCCCTATGGGGGCACGAAGCGTGTGAGGGTTGTGTCTAAATGGGGCCGGGGCGGGCGGAACCGCATGCGAACCCTACCACCTGGGGCCTTCGGTCCATTCGGGGCCACAGAACGTGTGAGGGTTGCGCCGAAATAGGGGTGCAAGCGCATGCGAACCTTGCCATGGGGTCCTTCGGTGAAGCCCCCTATGGGGGCACGGCACGTGCAGGAGTGTGGCGAAATCGGGTTTGAACCCCTTGCGAACCTTGTCGCCGGGGCCTTCGGTGGAGCCTCTTCATGGGGCCACGAAACGTGTCAGGGATGTGCCGACATGGGAGTGGAACCGCATGCGAGCCCTACCACTGGGGCCCTCGGTGGAGCCCCCTATGGGGGCAAGTGAGGGTTTTGCCGAAATTGGGGTGGAACCGTATGCGAACCCTGTCACTGGGCCTTCGGTGCAGCCCCCTTACGTTGG